CCCCCAAGGAGCGTTCCCGTCTTCCGCTCGTTCTGATATTGGGCATATCCGCGCCCCCGGCTCTGTTTGTACAGCTTCTGCCCAACGAGGCGCTCCGCCGCTGCCGCCTGAGCCTGAACAGCTTCCCGGCAGCTTCCCAGCAGCTGGAGCTCGGCTTCCGAGCGACGCTGCTGCGCGGCCCGGCGCCGGCGGGCGCGGTGCTGGGGCCGCGGGTGGTGAGGTGGCTGCTGGCGCACTTTGCCGCCGCGGACGCGAGCGCTAACACTCTCGCCGCCGCGCTGCAGGTGCGCCCGGCGCCCAGCGCTCGCGACCGCCCTTCTGACGCCGGCAGGGGCCTACGTTGTCGTGTTTGCGATGCCACGTCACACACCGCCGCAGCGGCCTGCTGCGCACACCGCACGCATCCCGCACGGCCGACGTCCGCCGGAGCGCGCCCTGCCTCCTAAACAGCACACACGCGGGTCAACCTTGAGCCAATCGTACCCTCTTGCCATCACCCTCTTGCCCTGAAACAGCTCTGCCAGCTGGAGCACGCGCTGAGTCAGCCGCTGGCCGCCCTCGCGCCCGCCCTCTCGACCGGCAGCCGCGACGCCCTGCGAGTCGCGCTGGCGGAGCTCCCGGCCCCCGCAGTCCGCGCCATGTCCGCTGCCATCAAGGCGAACGGCGGCGCCGGCGGCGGTGCACCGGCAGTCGAGGCCGCGGTGTGGGGGGCGGCGGAGGACTATGGCAGGTGGCGGTTGGCGGTGCTCGCACTGAGCGCGGTGGCCAAGGCTGTAGGTGGGCGGCAGGGGGCCGCCTGTGGGGGCAAGCCGGCCGGCACCGGACCCAGGCCCAATTTGCAGCTGCTTATGGGGGTCCAAGCACGTGCGTGAACTTGCGGGTTGCCCTCAGGCCCAGAGTCCTCACTGCGTTGAGGGCGCCGGGCGGTGCCCCAACCTCAGCAGCTCGTCACTTGGATTCTCCTCAGGGATCTAAATCCCCTAAACCCTGAACCCCGAACCCTGAACCCTCCTGCTCGCACAGGCCTAGGTGCTGACGCGGACACCCAGCTCCCAGCCCTCTACCTGGCGGCCAGCCCCGCCTCAGAGGAACGCGCCCCCGGCACAGGCCCTGCAGTGGATGCGCTGCTGCGGCGCATGCTAGGCGTGCCCTCCGTCCACTCGGCGGGCGGCGGCGGCGGCGTGTGGGGACTAGGAAGGGAGGAGGCGGTGGATCTGATCCGGAGGTTGATGAGGCTGGTGGAGCAGGCGGCTGCGCGGCCGCGGGCTGAGCAGGACCAAGGTAAAGAGGAGGAGGAGGAGGAGCAGGAGGAGGAGGGAAATGATACAAAAGGGAAAGAGCAGCAGCAGCAGCAGCAGCAGCAGCAGCAGCAGCAGCAGCAGCAGGAGGTTGAGGAGGAGGACAAAGAAGCGGGGGAGGACGGGGACGAGGGGGAAGGTGACGAGCAGCTTCCGGCCTTCCGACGGCGGGTCACCCGCGCGGCGCCCGCGGCGCAGGCGCGCAAGCCGCGCCGAGGGAGGCTCGAAGGCAAGCAGCAGCGCGAGTCAGAGCCTCAGCAGGAGGGGCGGCCGCCGCGGGCGCGGCGCGGGGCGGCGGCTGCCAGTGGGCGGGAGAAGGCGGAGGAGGGGGCGAGGGGACGCCCGATTGTGTTTGACTGCTCGATGAGTGATGTGGGCAGCGGCAGCAGCAGCGACAGCAGCAGCAGCAGTGACAGCAGCGAGAGCAGCAGCTCGGATGACAGCAGCAGCGACAGCAGCGATAAGGAGGAGGGCGGCGGCGCGGGCAGCAGCAGCGGCGGCGAGGACGACGGCGGGAGCGAGGAGCAGGTGCGTGGACGCGGGGCGCCGGCGCTGCAAAAGCGTGGCGCGGCCGTGGCAGCAGGCACGGTACGCAGCGGTGCCCGGAAGCCGGTTGGCCGCGCCGCGGCGGCCGCGAGGCCCGCGCTGGCCCCAGGCGGCGGCGGCGGCGGCGCCTCCAATGCTGACGAGAACGCGCAGCCGTTTGAGTGGCTGCTCGCCAGCTGCCCGCGGCTGCTCGTGCTGGTGCGTGCCCTGCGCCGCCTGCTGGCCGTCGCGGAGCGGTCCGACGCCACCGGGCGTATCGAGGGCGGCGCCGCAGCATTGGATGATGAAGACAGTAGCGGCGACGAGGGCGGGAGCGGTGGCGGCGGATGGGGCAGCGGGCACGAGCAGGGGTCGGACTCGGAGGATGGCCCTGCGCCGCCGGCACGCCGCGGCGGCCGGCTGCGGCGCGCGTCAGGGGCGCCCGCAGCCAAGATGGGCGCGGGCGGGTTTCCGAGGATCTACGGAGTGCCCAACACTCCCTTGGCGCAGCTGTTTGCGCGCGCTCATCTGGGCTCGTCGAAGCCTACGCCCGCCCCAGCAGCTGCCGCCGAGGACGGCGGACTGGCGTCCCCACGCAGCGCACGCGGGCGCGGCGCCGCACCCGTGCCGTTTGGCGGGGAGGATGGGGAGGCCGTGGCATCGCCGCCGCGCGGCGGGCGCGGGCGCGGGCGCGGGAAGGGGCGCGGGCGCGGGC